GAAGAAGTAATCGAAGCTGTAAATGGTTATTTTGAGGAGCTTGACGAATCAGTCTATAGAGATGGCATTAATAGACTGGAACACCGCTATGAGAAATGTATCAGCCTTGGAGGAGATTATGTTGAGAAATAAAAAAAAAAAAATTTTAAAAACCTTGTTTTTCTTGGTCAGGCCGGAAACTTATCAATCCACCCTCGTATATCATGAAAATGCACCCGAAATGAAACTGTGTCTACATTTGAATGGGCTAAGAGGGTCTAATTTAGGTAATACGTAATTTTGTTCACAATTTCGGCAAATTATTGTTTTGTATTAAACCAAAATATGCAAAAAAACCATTTCTTACACATCACTTCTTTTTATTTCATTGTATACACATTGATGTTTCTGCTGTACGCCATAGATTTGTTCTACTGCTGTATATTTCTTGGTTCATTAAATTTCTTTCTAAACTTTTAGTTTAAATCTGACATCAATTTGTACCTAAAAGATATGTAATTTTTATGAATAAGCTTCGTTACATTGGTTTTTGTGTTCGGTTACGAGGTCAAAATTCACTTTATAGCACACAACATTTTATTTGTTCTATTTTTTAAAGTTTATTTAACAATGTTTTCAAAAGTAATAATAAATTAAAACAATATATTTCTTTATCGCGGTTCTAGGTATTTTGTTACTGTTTTCTCTTATTCATGCCTTATTTAAATTTCTTATCATTGTAAATATATTTTTCTTATAAGGCATTAGAATATTATTGTACCGTAGTTTCAATTATTGTCGTCGACGTTAAACTCAATTTATTGTGTTCGTGAATAAAATAAAAAGGTATAAATGGATGTAAAAAGAACACTATCTGTGAATAATTTCATCAAATTACGTAGTGGCGGTCTATGTCATTCCTGAATTCTTTTTGGTACTGTGGGCCATTTGAGAAAATTAGTTAATTACAATAGTCACTGTATTTTGAACAGTTATCGCTTCATTTTTACTCGTAAGTATTTTGTTATTTAGATAATTCCTAGTGTTAATTACGTTGAGAAGGCACTAGTGTTTCGTTAGTACGGAAACGCCGCCGTCGCTGGGATAAAACAGAACTTGGATGCTCTTTGTGGTTATAAAGTAAATAATGTAGCCTTTTTTAATTTAAGTAAGTAAATAGTGAAAATTTGCTTAGTAAAGTTGCAATCAAGAAGACTAGAGATTGGAGTGGAAACTACATTGACTTCTTAAACTAGGTGCAGCACTTCGAATTATTTTATTCGATTATGGCAACGTGCCTATCACGTAGTGGTTAGCTACGCCGGAATTCGTTTCAGCAAGTAGATATCCATATATTTAAATGGATTTTGTTGGAGAATACGTAATCCTAAAATGTAGGATCGTACTACAGATGGCGTTTACCGCGCCATTTGTGGTATTTTCAGACTGTGTATTTCCTTGATTACTGTACACGAATTTATGATAACAGCGCCTTCTTATTTGAGAAAGTATATGGGTAGATTTTGTCTTAGTCTCGCAAGACGTGCATAGATGTTCATAAAGTTAATTATTTTGTTTTCTGCTTGTTTTAGATTGACGAGGGCATCTGCGGCCGTGAGATGACCGCGCCCCTCGACCAGAGCACGACCACCAACGGAGGCGGCGGCAATCAGCACAATGGGTCCGCGTCCGACAACAAGAAAATTTACACCCTTTCGGTCAGCGGTGGCTACGATAATGAAGGGTTCAAACCAGACCAAGATGGTTTGGCGGCGATCAAAAAGCATCGCGAGCTCACAGACGAAGAGGCATCTTCGCAGGGCAAATTCAAAATGGCGCGTAAAGAAAAATGGCGCATATTAAAGAACGTCGCGCTTATATCGGGCTCCTTCATGATCCAATTCACTGCCTTTCAAGGAATTGCCAATTTACAAAGTAGCATTAACGCCAAAGACGGCCTCGGAACCGTGTCTCTCAGCGCCATCTATGCAGCGCTTGTGGTCAGTTGTATTTTCGTGCCCACTTATCTTATCAAGAGACTGACCGTTAAATGGACATTATGTCTTTCGTTACTATGTTACCTACCGTATTTCGTGGCGCAGTTCCATCCACGATTTTACACCCTGGTACCTGCTGGTATTCTCGTTGGTATTGGAGCGGCGCCCATGTGGGCATCCAAGGCCACCTATTTAACTCAAGTTGCTGGAGTTTATGCGAAATTGACCGATCAGCTGGTTGACGGCATTATCGTAAGATTCTTTGGCTTCTTCTTCCTTGCATGGCAGACTGCGGAACTTTGGGGAAATCTTATCTCATCGTTAGGTAAGGATATCTATCTTTCTTTTATTACCTAAGTATAAACATAGATCGAACAAAGAAATTCATAGTGGTCAGAGTTCTGTCGAAACTTCAATCTTGTTGGACGCCTTCAGCGCGCCGCAGACATGTTCGACAGAACACTGAATTCCAGAGTGTGTGTACTCGACCATAGATGGCATTCACCACGCCGTTTGGGGTACTTTATAAACGTAGATAGTACAGAGTGGCGCATAATAAGGTATGTGATTGATCGAGAAGAATGGCCTAGAGGTTTGGACCGTTGCCTAGCATTCGGGAGGACGCCGGTTCGATTCCGAGTCCGTCTGCCTTGTTCGAAGTTTTTATGTGGTTTCCTTGGATCACTTAGGCAAATGCTGGTGCAGTAACATTCCACAGATGATCTTTCATTCTCCTCAGTCTTCATTTCATTCGTCTCATTTTTCTCATCTGAATCACCACCCACTCATTCCCACGATTCCTGAAAGGGGACTGATGAGGGTCTTCCGCATTACCTTCCGGCGTAGTCTGGCGGGACTGTCCCCCCACCAGCATTAGTGGCTGGTGTGAATCGTATCTGGTTGACTGAGCGGCATGGTCTAGAAGTTTATTCCATTGCTTAGCATTAGGGAGGACTCCGGTTTGATTCCAAGATTTTCTGTTAATTCCTCGGATAACTTAGGCAAATTCTGGAACAGTAATATATATAACAGATAATCTTTCATCCCCATCTGTGTCCATTCGTCTGTCTCATTTTTATCGCCCGTACCACACCACCACCACCCATTTCGACTATTCCTGAATGGAAGCTGAAGAGGACCTTCCGCCCTAGCTTCCAGTGTAGTCCGAAGGGATTACCCGCCCACCAGCATTAGTGGCTGATGGGAATGACACACAAAAAATTTTTTTGGTGTCTGATCGCGTCGCCATGTATATGATACAAAAATTCCTTTGTCTTGTTTTTGATAGAAATATCGTAAAAACTAAGTGTAGAGAAGATATGTTAATAATTATTATAAAGTGAACAAAAGAATCGAGGCAAAAGAGGACGATAATGTCTATTGGTTACAGAACACCACCGGGAGGTTTTATAAAAACAGATTCTAGATTCTTTTAGTTGACAAAGCCTCCTAACAAGTAGCGAAACGCTGGTGTCGGTTTTATAACCAATAAAGACATTATTACCCTCTATTGCCTTGATTCCTTTGTTCACATTAGAACTAGGGAAAGAAATGGCGAAATAATTTTTATATTCATTCTTTGTGACGATTCTGTTGAAGATTATGACGTAAAAAGTTTTTGAAGATAGGCAACGAAGAAAGACTCGACTATTAGTAGTGAAGTTAAAACATGTTTTTTAACTACTTATTTCTATTCCTTTAGCAACTTTCTTTTATAATATGTATAAATAATAAACGGATATACCGGATGATATTGAGTTGTCAAAAGTAACTGCTAATAAATTTACTATATTCTCCTATTTACTGCTGGATGTGTGAGATTACAAAACGCCTATTCACGATTGGTTGATTTTAATCTTGACCTTTTCTTTTTCAGTTTTGAGTAATCCGCACGGCGGCGGAGGATCATCTTCGAATTCGAACGTGAGCACCTACGAATTGTGCGGTGCGAACTTTTGCTCCATCAGCAACAACCAAAACCTGGAACGGCCAGATGATGAGGAAATTTTCGAAATTTCGGGAATTTACATCGCCTGTATCGTCTGCGCAGTCGTCATCATTGCAACTTTTGTGGATCCCTTGACCAGGTAAGCTTCGAACTTTTGATAACAAAATAATGCGTTGTGTGACCTAAATTGGTCCTTGACAAACAACACTTCCAACTGTCATTAATCATCCGAATAACAGCGAGCAAGTCATTAATGTCATGATAGAAATATTTAGGAAGGTTAGTTAATAACATAAACAAAGAGCTGAAACCGTGTATTTACACAGGTAGTTTTTAAACTATCTAAAGGATGATATTAAATTTGAACGACTTAAAAATTAACTTAAACCTAAATTGGAAAGGCATCTCACAAACAGAAGTCGTCCTTTAATATTTAATTTATGCTGCACTTGATGCACAGGTACGCGTTAATTCCACGAACGTTTAAGGAACTTAATCATATGATTTCATCATCATAAGGTCGTCAGTCCTAAGACTGACTGGACACGCACCTCCTCTGTTTCCTACTCTGAGCTAAACTTCGTATTTCTCTAAAACGAGAACAACCCACATGCTTAACCATTTGCGAACAGTAATCTAATCTAGGTCTACATCTACCCCTCTTAACTTAACCTATCTCCCCTATTCCTTACTGATTTCCGTAGAGTCCTCTATTCTCCTATTCCAGTACCTCTTCATTTCTAATCTTCTCTATCCACGGTATCCTCATCATTCGCCTGTAACACCACATTTCGAACGCTTCTAACTTTTTTTTTTCCGTCTCGCCCACTGTCCATGTTTCGCACCCGTACAGCGCCGTGCTCCAAACATACACCTTTAACAACCTTTTTCGAATTTCCAAATTAATCGTTCGCAAGCATAGAAGTGACTTCTTTTTATTAAAGGCGACTCGACTCTGCCTTATATCCCTACTACTCCTTCCGTCCTGACTTATCTGACTTCTTAGGTATCTAAAATCAGCCACTTCTTCTAATGTTTCGCCTCCTATCTTTATATTCGCTCTTTCCCTACTTTTTCTTCCCCTGCATACCAGTACTTTTGTACCGCTTCCATTTTCTTTAAAGCTATCTCGATCTTATGATTTATGTTTAAATAATTAATTACGATTATATGTAAGACGATCAGTTTTTTATTATATATTCTGTTTTGAAATGCACTGTCATTTATTTTCAAATCGGTTTTCTTCCGTATTGTTCTAATCGGATAAACTTGGGCTGAAGTTCTCTGCTTTGTTCCTTCTTTGATGTTTCATCGCCTATTTCATAACTAGACACTTAATATGTGAATACAGCAACAATCAATAATTGTTACAATTTCAATTCAGCTATATTTATCTAATGGTCTCCATTTATAGCCAACAATAAAAGGCTTAAGTGTATGTACCTGTTCAATACAGTCATGGTTAACGTTGATAGTTTTAAATTTAGTCTTCAGTTACTTTACCAGTTATTATTCTTATTGATACGTAGATTTTAGATGCAAGATAATTCGATATTCATCATGACAACAAGATGAAACGGTAAACTGTAATAAATTGTGAGGTCAAAGTTTGGCGGTTATGATTGCATAAATAATTTAAATACTGAAACGGCAATGAGAACACTGATTAAAATGCGAAGCGACGATTTATTATTAAAAATATATCATGTAGGGTAAGGTTGGGTAAATCGTACCATAATCTAAATCGTACCACCGTTACTTTTCATATTTAGGATGCATATTGTGCTATCTTGTGTTCAAACTTAAAACCTATTATTCAATACAAATTAATGTAGATGTCATGTTTTTNATATATAGGAACTTTTTCAAAATTAAGACTAATTAAATTCTTAAAAGTAATATTTCAGCAAGGGACATTAGCCTTTTGTCTCAGAGTAGTATGCACAATTTGCGGCGAAGTAAAGAAACAACTTCGTTGAAGACCGTTGCCTTAATTAACTTGCTGAATAAACAGCTACTTAAAGTATCTTGATATAACAGGATTTTTCTAATTAGTCTCTGTTAAATCCAGTTTGATGTTATTAATTGCTAAAAGTTAAGATGACACTGCCACAATTAATTTCCCTAAATAGTTCAATTAAAGTCGACAAATAGTTGCTTTCCGCGGATATGAATAACCTGAATTACAAAAAGCCTAAAATTACAAAAATATTGGTATTAGGCATCTAATTGTGTTCTTCTTTTTTGTCTAAGAGCGTAAAAATTAATAGAAATTAATATCGCATCATTGTTGAAATGTGGCAAAATGTTATGAAACTGATTTACTAAAAAATTAACATTCTATCAATTGCAACAAAAATGTAATATTGTTTTGAACTGTCGTCATATTGATAACAGCTTTGTAAAATTTGTTAAGGAAATGAAATATCTTGAAAATAGACAATGGTTGAAGTATCTGACACTTGAAACTGCACTTAATGTTATTTATAGACGTATCTACGGTGTTATTTATTGATTTATTTTTAATTGATATCTAAAAATCTGTAACTATCTTTAGATATATCAATCCTGCGGTAGCTTTCTTTCAACTTTTCTTCGAATTCAGGAATCTATTTATAATCTGTTATCTGTTGTCATTTTTTTTTTATTAAACAATCTGAATGCAATAATGCAATTTCAATAGGAAACAACTACGAAATATCTAACGGAAGGGTTTTTAAGGAAGAAAAACCTATCTCCAGGTGAAAGTGATTATTTTTGTAAGACAAATATATGAAAATTCTATTTGATGATGTGCTTCCTTACAGTAAATAATAATAATTACAAAGACTGTACCTACAGTTACCTATTGAAGAAAAGCCAAGCGATGGAATAGTTTCACTACTGCTGAATGCGATTTCCGGCAACTTCAAAACGTTCAGACTTGAATAATTTATAGTTTCTTGTAATTCTGCGTTCTTATATCTATGTCCTGCCAGTAATAACTGAAGTATTAAACGCGAAATCCTGTTTCATCAAATTTACATATAACGGCGTTGATACAAATTACATCAACAAAAAATTTTGACGTAACATCTCGTCCCGTCGTAAAATTGGAGGAGATATCTTCATTTAATGAACACAGGGTTTATTAACTTTATTTGTTTACAATAAAAATTTTGACAGACACAAAAAAAAATGTTTCTGAAACTTAAATTTAAAATCTTCATTGCTTACTTACCAAAGAATTATTGAAATATCGATGAATAATCTTCAGTAAATAGTGAAGACGCTAATAGATGGTGATCAGTATTCTTTCGAAACTGCCAGACGCAAATCGCAATTTTGATCTTGTTAGATCTCATCAGCGCGTTGTAGACAGTACTACAAGAGGTGTGGTGAACGCCATCTGTAGTACAATACTGCATTTAGTGGAATTCTATGTGTTCAACAAGGTAATCGGAAAAAAATACCCCTGAACAAAAGCCCCTGGAAAAGAATTCCCCCTCGGAAAAAATTAATACCCTTGATTTATTATAAGGTAAATTGTAAATTTTATTAGGAATGTAACGTGGTTCTGTTATCAGAGAATTTTTATATCTGTATGCTAGCAGAATACTCGATTTAGTATATACTACATGTATATAAAACAATACTTATTTGTGCAATTTTTTCAGAAAAGGAAATGGTGTATTGTTTTTATTATTTTTAAATTTTCTAACAATTTATATTCAATGTATTATAAATACGACAATAAAATAAACGTACAGAATGTTCGTGATACAATTTAATAGAAATAAGAACAGATCGAGTAGATAATTAGCTACAACATTTTCATCTGACGTTTTAAATTATAATATTAGCAAAAAAAAAAACTTTTGTTTGTGAAGTATAAATATATATTGAAGAGTAAATATTTGGTGATTTTTTTCCAAAGGGGCATTTTTTCCGAGGGCATTCTTTCCGGTGGCCTTTTTCCTGGATTCGTTCAACAAGGTCTTTGACTATTACTTTTTTTATAGTGATGGATGTATCTACCCCACGAAATATTTTCAAAAAAAAAAATAATTTTTACTGATATATATTTACGTAAATCACCTATTGTCAGTACAAAATAATGACTACTGGAAAATATTTCCAATACTCATTACAAAAGTAAATTATTTACGTTAATGTTTTCGAAAACCTGATGTCAATCTATGCTGGTAAATAAAAGCCTGAAACGGGCCGTTTTGTTCTATAAAAAAATGAAATAAATTAAGCCTTCTAATGACCCCATTTCGTGGGCAAAGTACCGTCAATTAATGGACATACAAAATCTAGTTGATTTGTATGTAGATACTATTGACCACCTAATTGAAAGAAATTACGCTAATGAATAGAGTTCATGGAAAAAATCATATCTGTTTGCATGCTTTTCTGAAAAAAGATTGTCTATTCGCAAGGATGATTTTATTTTTTCCCAAGACAATTCGAATTGTAGTAGATAGATAGTAATTAGCCAGCAGTATTGCTGACCTTGTCATTTGCGGCACGGAAACAGTTAATAACATGTTTCCGACAAGCGATTAATACAAAGCGATGGCTTACCAATACGTTCTGTTTTTTTTTCTCTTCTTTTTATTATTTTATACGTATGTGTATGTTTTGTGTGTGTTGCTATCATTATGCGAATCAAATTGCTTGAATTGTTTCAGTAAGAGCTACTAATTTTTGTTCTCGATAACATAGTCAAATGTCACTGCATAATTAACAGCAGTCAACTTAATGTTCACACAAGCTAAAGGAAACCACAATGAAGACTGTTTAGTTAAAATACTACTTTTCTTTAAATTACAGATTATTAATTATCTGATTACCGTTCAAATAATCGAAAACAATTTTTTCTGTACGTAATGCAATAATAACTACGTATTAGTTAGTAATTTACCTGTACCAAGTGAATACGTCGCCGGTAGCTGGTGTAATTAATCATTTCGTGAAATGCTGTAAAATATTAACAACTTATGTGGTCGTGAACTTTAAGATTTAAAAATATAAATGCAAAATTTCGATTTATTCAATATAAACATTAATCATTATTGTAACGTGCATATTTTGGAAATAATAAAAATTATTGAAGAAAAGTGCTGCAACTAATTGACCATTGAAATGAGTAAA